ATTTTTTATGAAAAAGTATATCAAATATTAATGTAGGTAGCTAGAAAAAAGAGCCCAATCTAGCACACATTAAGCATTTCAAAAGTACAAATATCATAAAGTCCGGCTTCGAAGATGAAGAATGTGGACCAGAAAGATCATACAACAATAGTGCATAATTTGCAATAAACGCATGGACAAAAGCAATTTTGTCTATGCATTAGTATGTACACATGTGCATATGATTTTATCAAATCAGGTGGCCATCAAATGTATCATATATGGTTGAAAATATGCAGCAAAGCCCGATGAAAAAGGGCAAGACACAAATAAGAATTACAAGATAGTTCACAAACAAAAAGATAGATGCTTGTTTTGAAGATTTCATATCAAAGGCAGGGCCATGCTTATATTGAAATAACTAATTCACCACACAAAGATACTTGACTCAACAAACACATATGCTTGATTCACCAAAATTGGGAAGAATTTAGGTTAGTTTGGTCTCACATTAGTGGCTATAAGATATCAAAATTATCTAAGAAATTTTAAAGGATACATGCAGTCCATATCTTAGATCAAGTTTAATCATATGCTTAATCATGATATCAAGTAATAATAGTAAATTTACGCAAAACCGAGATTAATTTTCTACAAAATCTATGACCAAGACGATGTGAAAGTGGCAATTTTTAAAATTACAAAGCACCTTTCATTTATTTTTTAAGAAACATTTCAAAAATCCTAACTTTGTAAATAAGAATTGATGTCAAAACCACATTTTTTGAAGCACAAAATTCAAAATAATGCTTGGCATAAAAAGAATGAAAAAGGTAAATTTATTGTTTGCAAAACACAAAATACACAAGTGATGTTTCTGCATTTCCACATTTCCTTTTTTAAGTCATTTATACTTACCATGACTTTCTGCAAACTATTAATTTAGAGTGGTTAAAAAATGATAAAATGTCAGCTTATGTTGAACAAAATTGCCATCAGGTGTACTTAAAAATCTAAAAAATGTGATGACAATTATTGAATAGTTTACTACATAAGTAGATTCCATCAGCATCTTAAATGATCATAAAAATATTTTAGGTTATACTTCAAATTGTATAGCAATTACAATGATCAATTGAGATTCATTTCAGAATGGAGGTTTGTTACAATAAACTTCTAAATTTCTCAAGACATCAATGTAAAAAAATAGTTTAACACCCAAGAATCTACATGTCTTAGATTGGATAAGATGCAACGACTATGCATTTAGTAATGCACAAGTTTGCTTCAGAAGACTCCAGGCCAATTAAAATAAGGGTAAGAGGCCATTTCAGGAACAACTTATTAAAAAACAAAAGAAGCCAATAATCAAACATTATGGGTCCTTTTCCCTTTTTAGCAGCTTTCTGAGGGAGTTCAACACAAGGCAGAAAGCCCAAAGATATTACTGGAGGATTCTAAAGATACCATTTATCATAGGTTGAACACAGAAACTATGACTCAAAAAAAAAAACAGTTAATCATTACAAGTGAGTGAGTAATGAGGAATCGCATTACCTTCTACTAAAGAGGGATATTTTTGCTTTTAGGTATCTATGTGCTGCAAACTAACATATGTTCTAACTATCAGAAAAACAACAATTAAATAAAGTTATCGAACTCCAAGAAGCTATGACAAAGCTATTTTGATACAAGGTGTTTGATGGCTTCATACTCTTCCATGATATAAGATGATCACCATAGAAAGTACAAAAACCAAAAGTAGAACGCCGATCAATTCTTGATCCTGCATAATCAGCATCAGTGAAACAAGAGAGCCTAGATTGAGGAGCGGCTGTCAAGAATAATCCTAAGCCAGGAGAGGTCTTCAAATATCTCAAAATGTGATGAACCGCATCAAGATGTTCTGTATGAGGTGCATGCATGAATTGACTAACAACACTGACTGCCAATGTCAAGTCAGGTCTAGTGTTGGGCAAATAAATTAGACGTCCAACAAGACGCTGATACATGCCTGGGTCCTCTAACAACTCGCCAGACTCTAATGTGAGCTAGACATTGGGATCCATAGAAGTAGAAGCACGTTTACACCCTAACGTACCAGTATCCGGAAGTAAGTCAAGAGTGTACTTTCTTTGAGATAAGAAAATTTCCTGCCGTGAGCGAGCCACCTCAATCCCAAGAAAATACGTGAGACTACCCAAATCCTTAATATCAAAGGTGTGTCCCAAATCCTTTTTTGCTTGATCAATGCCTACAAAATCATCACCTGTGAGAATAATATCATCCACATAAATCAACAAGACTATACACTGACCGGTTGAATTACGATGGATGAAGCAAGTATGGTCGGAGTGGCACTGAACAAACCCCATGGAGATGATAATAGAACTGAAACGACCAAACAAAACTCGTGGAGACTATTTCAAGCCATACAAAGACTTGCGCAATTGACACACTTTTTTTGAATACTCCCTCTCAGCCAAAAAATCAGGAGGAGGTGCCATATAAATCGTCTCAAGAAGATCTCCATGAAGAAAGGCATTCTTGAGATCAAGCTGATGAAGAGGTTAAGAATGGGATGCTTCAAGAGAGATGAGAAGACGAACCGAGGTAAGCTTGGCAACAGGTGCAAAAGTGGCTCCAAAATCTTTGCCAGGAACCTGGGTGAAGCCCTTGGCCACCAAGCGGGCTTTGTAATTGTCAACGGAGCCATCAGCTAGATACTTAATAGTGAATACCCATTTGCAACCCACAATACTCTCACCAAAAGGTAAAAGAACCAGATCCCAAGTATGATTCTGTTCTAAAGCTATCATCTCAACCTGCATAGCCTCTATGCATTTTGAATTTTGAAGGGCCTCTGACATAAAATGAGGAATGGCCTTGGATTCAAGCTTGCCAAGAAAAAAGCGATAGGTAGGGGAGACTCTGTCTTATGAAAGATACTGGGAAATGAGATGATTAGTACTACTCAAATAACTCCAACGGTTTGGAGGATGTCGATCCCGAGGGGGATTACGATGAAGAGGTGGAGGGGATGTATGTAAAGCAGAAGAAGTACTTGACCCAAAGACCAGAGAAGCGGCAAGCGGGAGCTGAGAGCAAGGGCGACGAAAGTATACCTGCAATAGGGGAGTAAAGGAGGCAACGGTGGAGAATGAGGGAAGAGGACAACCTCATCCGTAACCTCGTCCAAAATAGGAGTAGGGCGAACACTAGAAGGAACGGGAGTGGAAGCCTGCAAAGGAGGGGTACTACCAAAAAAAAAGAGATCCTCACAAAAAGTAACATCCAAAGTGTGGTCAAAGTGACGAGCCATAGGATCAAAACACCTATACCCTTTTGACATGGAAGAATACCCCAAAAAAACACAACGAATAGACGTGCCATCCAACTTGGTACGAGCGGGACTCCGATCCTGAATAAAACAAGTACACCCTAAGACACGGGGTAGGAGAAGAAATAGAGTAGTGTGGGGCATAAGAACATGAAATGGAGTAAGACCCTGCAACACACGACTACGGGTCCTATTAATAAAATAGACAGCAGTGAGGATAGCCATATGGTTATAGGACTTAGGGACACTCATAACATGAAGGAGACACTACACAACAGATATAATATGACGATCGTGGACACGTAAGTTGTTGAAGAATACCAATCTGATTAAGATAGGAGCGAAAAGCATTGGAAATACATTCCACACCATTATCAGAATGGATATTTCTAACAACTGTACAAAACTGAGTCTTAACCATTTGCAAAAACTGAACAAAAATGGGAAACACGTTAGACTCACGATGGAGCAAATATACCCAAGTACATCCAGTGTGGTCATTAATAAAGGTGACAAAATACCGATGGCCAGAAAAAGCAAGAACAAGAGACGGACCCTAAACATCGGACTGCATAAGGTCAGAAGCACTAGGGGCACGAGTCATATGAGGTATGCAACTGGTACAAGTATGTTTAGATAATTCGCAAACCACACAATGAAACTTAGAATCTTTGCAAGCTTTATTTAATAAAGAAAAAAGTTGACATAAGTATTGAAAATTGACATGACCCATACATGCATGCCGCAATTCTAAAGTTTGAACATTAAAAACACAAGATATAGAAGCAGGCAAAACAAATGCCTGGAAACTAGCTAAAGTAGAAAGAGGTTGGTCTAGTGGATCCCCAAAGTAGTAGAGTCCATCGCGCTCGTATCTCTTGCAAAAAATCCTCTTTGAACTCAGGTCTTGTAATAGACACGAAGAAGATAAAAAAATAACAGCACAATTGAAGGACTTGGCAAGCCGACTAACAAATAGTAGATTATATGCAAAATTAGGAATATGCAAACAGATGATAGAGTAATATCAGGAGATAAAGACACTTGACCCTTATGACGAACTGAGGAGAAAGACCCATCAGCAAGACAAATAGATTAGTTTATAGTAGCAGGAACTAGAGATGAAAGAAGGGAAAACTTACCCGTCATATGATCATTAGCCCTAGAATCTAAAACCCATGAGGGACCAGCAGACTGAACACGAAAAGTAGTACAAGTACCTATAACGAGAGTAGCAGTAGTAGAGGAGGATGGGCTAGAAGAGCTAGTAGTCAAAGTCCCAAATTGAGTCTGAAGCTGGCCAATCTAAGTCTATAACTACTGTAAAATAGGAATACTCGAAGACCCAAAAGCATGAGAGGCCTCCACAAAAGCAGCAGTGCGAAGTGTGCCAGAACCACGAGGGCGAGAAGATCGTTGCCTCAACTCAAGATGAAGTTTGAAGCAGCGAGCCTTGACATGACCAGGAGCCCCACAATGATGACAGGTAACTGAACCAGTAGAACCCCGGGAACTAGAGTTTGTGGCAAGGGCCATCTGGTCAGATAAAACAATAGTCACTAGAGTAGTGGTGTGCAGAACCAGACGCCGACGACGCTCATCACTATCAATGGTGGCAAAGGCCTCATAGAGGGATGGCATGGGCGATGTGTTTAAAATTTGAGTTCGAAGAGATTCAATTTCAGAGTTTAAGCCCATCAGAAACTGGTAAGTGTGCTGGTTGGCAAGGTGGCTGGACACAAGCGACGACATCTACTGGTAACTCAATCAAGGGTTCATATTGAGCCAATTCCTCCCAACGAGCTTGAAGGTATCCAAAGAACTCTGACACAGAGAAACCCAAAGCAGACTAGGAGGCACGAACAATGTCTTGATAGAGCTCAAAGATGCGAGCATCATTATGAGCATGGGCATACATCAGAGACAAGGCACACCAAAGACTCGAAACAGTGTCACAATAAAGAAACATGTGGTAAATATGGTCATCCATAAAGTTAAACATCCATCATAGAATAGTGCAATTATCTATATCCCACAGGGCACGTGTAGGATCAGTTGTTGCAGGCCGAATAAAAGATGAGAGCTAATGGGCCTTTCCCTTTCCCCCTAAATAGAGTTTAAGGCTAAGAAGCATGGACACGGACACGTGACACGACACGAATACGACACGGACACACCGACACGTTAATTTTAAAAAAATGCAGGACACGACACGTGGCGGACACGCATGAAATATATAATTTTATATACAAAAATGCTTCCGACCTCTAAAACTTTGTCACTAAATTGGCACTAATGACGTGGCTGCCAACATGGAAACCTGAAGCAAACTCGCCCCTTTCTCTCTCTTTCTTTTTCATTTCAAATTTCAGATTCATTTTCAAAACAACATCTCCAAATTCTTCATAAGCCGCCCGACTCATTGCATCCGCCCAAAACAAGTTTCTTATGCGAAAGTCAATATCAACATCAATCATATAATAGAAACTCGAATTTTGTGCGTGCATTCTCAAAAAATACTTTTGAAGTGCATCGGAATCTCCTTCTCCAAGCCTCAATTTTCTAGCTCTCTCAATGTAATTCCTTGCATCTCGCTCATCAAATGTTAAAGACTCATAACCCCCAGCTTCAACAACCATTGAGTTATAATTCCTAGACACCCCAATCCCTGCTTGATCATTAATTTCTAATCTTCTCTTCACAGGACTAAGGATTTTCTTATTCATTAGAAAATGGCGTGAGTCGGTGGGGATCAAGTCATGATTATGTTCAAGGTTAACTGTGGTTAACATAAATCTCCCATCCTTTTGTAGGCTTGCTCGTACCCTTGCTTTGCAATCAATTTTTGTGGACAGAGATGGCTTTAAAGGGTTTACTTCTGATTTTTTAATTCTCTTCCCCGATCGAGAACATTCAATCCCAAAGTATCTTAATTCCCCATCATCGCCGATAACTTGTGTTTTACAAGCTATAGAAAACCCAACATGTTTAGCATATTTGGCATAAAATGTGTACGCTTCTTGCTTTGAGGTGAAACACATACCCCTCTTAGGTTCCTCAACTTCTTCACTCTCATTTAATAAAGGATTCTCAACAATATTTGAATCAATCTCCATTTCTGCTCATTCAAAAAGTAAATTCAAGAATTAATAACAGATTATTTTCAAAAATTAATAACAGATTATTGTGTTTTAATAACAGATTAAACTTTCAATAATGGACTTGAAGTATAAACCAAAATTGAAGTATAACAGCTGAATTATGGACTTCAAGTATAAACCAATGTTTGGACCAAAACTAAAGTATAAACCAAAATTAATAACAGTTGAATAATAGACCTGAAGTATAAACCAATGTTTGGACCAAAACTAAAGTATAAACCAAAATTAATAACAGTTGAATAATAGACCTGAAGTATAAACCAATGTTTGGACCAAAACTAAAGTATAAACCAAAATTAATAACAGTTGAATAATAGACCTGAAGTATAAACCAATGTTTGGACCAAAACTGATTAACAGATTTATGTTTGGACCTGAAGTATAACAGATTAAACAGGGGAATAAACATCGTTTGGACAAACATTTCAGTTCAGATTTATGTTTGGACCAAAAAAAACATAAATCTGAACATAAATCTGAACATGTTTTTTTTGGTCCAACTGTTTTTTATATCTATCTTGCTGATTTATATCTGTTTTTATAAAAACAGGTTTGGTCCAGATATAAACATCGTGTTAAACATTTGAGTTCAGATTTAAAAATCTGTTGAATGTTTAACCATATCAAGAACGATGTTCATAACCATGTTTAAAAAACAGGTTTGAACATGTTTAAAAAATAGATATAAATCTGAACTCAAATGCTTAACCTGTTTTTTATATCTGAACTCAAAACGATGTTTATATTTGAACATGTTTTTATGCTGATTTATATCTGAACTCAAACAGATATAAGTTATCTATCTTGCTGATTTAAAAACAGATATAACCATGTTTAAAAAACAGATATAAAACATGTTTATATCCCTTTTTTATGTTTGGACCAAAAAAAACAGAGGTCAGATTTATGTTTGGACATGGTTATAAACATCGTTCTTGAATTGTTTTTTAAACATCTATCTTGAACTTATAAACATCTAACTTATAAACAGGGGATTTCTGAACTCTGTTTTTTTTTTTTTTTTTCATATCTATCTTGCTATGTCCAACTCTGTTTGGACCAAACCTATCTTGCTATGTTTGGACCAAAGCTGTTTTTTTTTTTTCCCCATGTTTATAAACAGGAGATAGAACTGACCAGATGGAATTCCAACTCCAACAAAGACGTCGGACGGTGGAGGAGGGAGAAGACGTCGGACGGTGGGATGAATGGCGGAGGACAGATCTACAAATGTTGAACGAGACAGCAAACGCCAAACGGTGGAGGAGAGGGACGACGGAGGAGAGGGTTGACGCCAGACGGTGGAGGCGACGAAACGGTGGAAGACAAGCTCAGATCAAATGTGCAGGAACTTTTTTTTTTTCTTCTATATACATGAGCTCGATGGATCAACATTTGCGCGGGATTTTATTTTATTTTTTTATTTTTTTTTACAATGCGTGAAACACACGCACTCAATATGGAAATGGCCTTCAGTTTCACGCCTCACATGCCACTTGCTTAGAGCTCGGTTTAGAGCTCCTCTTCTAGTGGTCCGTAGCGGAACTGTTTTAAAAAAGGAAAATTTACCCATAAATCCTATTTTCTGAAAAGTTGAACCATTTAGTCCTAAAAGTTTTCTTATGCACCATTTAGTCCCATTTATACATCATCATCAAAATAACATCAAACATCATCATTAAAACAACATCAAACATACATTATCAACATCATCAAAACATTAGCAAAATCATAAACAATTGACACGTGTGTCCTCTAAGTGTCCAAAGAGTGTCCGGGTTTTTAAAAATATTTAAAAAATAGGACACATTTTGAAGAGTATCGGACACGTGTCCTAAGAGTGTCCAAAGAGTGTCGGTGTCCGACACGGACACGACACGGATACGTCACCTTCTTAGAAGTGTCCGTGCTTCTTAGGTTTAAGGGAGTGGCCCCAAGCAGCAAAATTTTTCCCATTTAACACCAAGCTCGTAATACGATGAATAGGAGTGTGATGAGAAAGAGAGAAATCAGAAGTCACTGGTACAAGTTTGGTGGGCATATTGGAATCAACATGAGATGGGTCAGTCATGGTGGATTAATAATGGCTAGAAAACACAAAATCACAACAACGCAGTCCAGAAAAATACAAGAAGCCGGACAAAACTCAACTGCTAGTTCAAATAAATGTTGCCGAACAAATATGGTAGTCCACTAAATAAAATAGGTCAAAAAGTGCTTAAACATCAGCACCACACCCTAGAAAGGGAAAAAATAGGGACTGAACTGCCCTAGAAGAGTTGTCCAAGCATCTATGGCTAGGAAACACCCTGGTCGGCAGCCAACAAGACCCTCGGCAGCGCTAGGGCAGCTTGTTGAGGGGTGTAGAGGGTTGGGTAGGTGGTTTTGGGGGGTCTAGGCTGGCTAGGTGGGGCTGTCGGGTGAAATGAAGGGTAGAAAGGGGACTGTCGACACTCAAGGAGGAAGAAAGAAGATGAGACAGTGGCTGGGTAGAGAACTAGGGTTTCTGTGCTCTGACTCTGATACCAAAAGGATGAAAAGAATGATTTGGCTTACCTACGAATGAGGTAGAGGCCATGTATATATAATAGATTCATGATACAATTTAGGAAATGATTGATATAAATAAGGAAACAATACTAAATTAGTGATTGACACAATCACAAATTATATACATAATATTAAAAATAAAAAAGATTTTATGTATTTTAATTTCTATATTCAACAGGCAACACCTCCTAACAGATTTATCGGGGGAAAGAAAAAAAAACCACCACCACTAAGAATCTATTGAACCTAGATTTAAATGTAATATCAAAAGGAATCAAGCTATTGCTTAAAAGTAGCCCTTTTGACCATAACAATGAGAGAAAGTGAGTACCTCAATCACTACCCAAAAAAGCCAAAAAATCCCATAATGATGAAATTATTAATTATCCATATGAAATGACAAACTCAAAAACTTTGTAAATCTATCATTCAAAAGCCAACAAAAAGTTAGCCCACAAATATAACAAATTCAACCACCAAGCTAATGCAATCCTAAACATTTAAAAATAAAAAAGATTAGAAAGCATCCATCAATACTTGCACACAAAAATAAAACATATATTTAAAAAATACACAAAGAAAGAAATTACAATAATAAGAAATAAAGGGTTGCCCATGAAAGAAGAGAAACCATTTTTATTTATTTATTTTGGGAATAAGATATTCAATAAAATAAAATTTTAAAAAAAAAAACCCATACAAACAGTGAAGAGGTGGTCACAACCGAGATTGCAAAAAGATCTAACTATCACATTAGCATTAAAAAGGCTGTATGTTTAGAAACTACTTGAATTGTGTGGTTGGCTTCATAAATACCTAATTTGCAAAGTTCACTGAAAAGATTAAAGCGGCCTTCCCTTGGTTCTAATTACTTGATAAAAAGTAACCAAGAGTGAAACTTCTGAACGTTCATAAGTTCTATCTATATCCATTGTATAACATTGAAGCTAAAAAAACATGAAACCAAAATATATATATATATATATATATATATGGAAAACAAATTTGTGGGCAAAAGAAAGCAAAATCCGGGACTTCGGTTTACTTCCCTTGAAAAAAAAAATAAAATAAAATAGAGCAAGGAATAACAAACCAAAGAAATAAAAGTCGAGAAAAAAGATAACAGAAGTAAGAACAAGAAAGAAAACTCCACAAAGAAAGAAGAATCAATGATAATATTTATTTAGCTCTTAAAAAATAAGATTGTTAGTTATTCTAGTTGTGTTTCAACTTCGAAGATTGACCCTTGGAAATCAGAAGGAAAAAAGAAACATTAAGTTACAACAAATTAAAACAGAAAAGTAAACCCCCCCCAATAAAAAAAGAAATACCCAAACAAGAGCTTTGGTTGAAGATGATGGCCTTCAATGTGGGAACAATGGCTCGAAAACAAAGGCTCTTTGATACCTCATTTGACATTGGTTGAACGCATAGTTAAACCCATAGATCTGGTCCAACACAGCTTCGAGATCGTCGTACAAATCACAAACCCATCGTCATCAAAATCGCCTACATTTAACCCATCTCTAGTACAATTTTCAGATCATCATCGTGAGCCATTGACTGTCGTCCATAATGTGATCTCACTGTCATTATCGAGAGATAGAAAGAGAGATGTAAGGACTGAGAGAAAGAGAAATGCAGGGAGTGAGAGAAAGAGAGTGAGACGACATAATGAGAGAGAAGAGGCAGACGGTAGACGTGGTTAGCAAGAGGGAGATGTGCTGGTTCTCCTACACACACAGTGAGTAATCTGTGCATTTACCAATTAATCTAAAACTCTTTAATAAAACAAAAGCTGAATAGAATAAAGGAGGACAAAAATGGAAAGCAAAAAGAGAGCCATGTTTACTGGAGCAACTACTAACTCCCTCCTATATATAAGTGCACAGATATATATATATATATATACACCAATCTCCTAGAAAAGAATGAAGAAGACTGATATGTGCAATCATAAATAAATATACAAGAGCCTAGTGCTGAGTCAAAGCTAATAAAGATCACACTTCATTTCATGTTTTTAATGAAATTTTTACTTTACTGATAAAAAAACTAGGTGAAAAATGAAAGGGTGACAATATTTTTTTTGGAAATGTGACAAAATAAAATAAACTAGCCAAGATTTATTTTAACTTTTTTTCCATTGACAGGTAGTTTTGTGCATTTTTTAAGCTAAAACAAATTAAAGTTGGTTTCTGGAGTCCACACATGGTTGCAGAGATGGCTTAACATGCCAAGATCGCACTTCAACAACAAATTCATCACGAATGAGCATATGTTATATCATAGAGTAGAACTTGATTTCAAAACAAATGATTTTATTATTAGATATGCCTCTAGTGTAGCTAGAATGAATATGTCATTACTATATTTTTTTCCTTATTCTGTTCTTGCAGAAGTAGCCAATATCATTTACCATAGCTACAGGACCAAGGAAAGAAAACAAATACCTAAACCCACCCTCTTTCTTGAATGCCACATAAACTGTAGGATGTTCTTACCAACATTACAATTATCTTTTGAAGAATCAAGTGGAAGAAGTGATTTTTAGAGCTAGCTATCGGTTGATCAACAAGGTGAGCCTGTACTTCTTCCCATTTTCCCTTTTTGGTGGTGATTGTCTCCACACACAGGTGAAAGTAATGTTAAGGGGTTGGGGCGGGGGTGTTTCAGGTCAAATATATTCGCAAGAATTATCCAAAAACAACTATAAAATGGGCATACTAAGGCACAACCACAACACATAAATCCAGTGTGGAACTCTTTAATTGCTACTTCGATCTTTGCAACGACTGAGCTTCGTCTGCATTGGACTTCAGTTCTTGTACAACTTTGTTCTTGAAAAATGCTTCTAGCTTTATTGGTAGCTATGCCTCGATAATTAGCTTCTCACCGCATGCACTAGAGGTCAAACGGCTAACCATGAAACTGTATTTACAATCTCATATAGAAAACACTGGTTTGTTTAGATGGGAAAATCCTTAATACTAATTTGTCAACCACTATCAGGTAAGCAGCCAGCCATTGCTTTTCAAGAAATCGTTTCTCTGTTCTTACCAGCAAGAGAGAGAGAGAGAGAGAGAGAGAGAGATTTCCTAGATACATGGACTTTATTCTTATACCACAAAAAATTGAAAGGTTGACAAGTAGAAGTATTCTCAAATACTACAGGTAAATTGCTGGGTGTTGGCTCAACTCAACATCCATCAGGAAAAGAGCACCATTTAGGCCACTTCAGCCTAAATAATATCCATCGGGCTGCATTTGGTATTGTGAACAAAAGATACAGAAATCAGCAGCATAGGTCACTTTTGCCTCATTTTAACAAATTTAACCCATAGACAAAATTGTATAGTTTAGCTCCTTTACCTTGTTCATCAAAAACAACAGGTAAATTGTAGAAATTTAATGTATAAAGAGAAATAGAGAATTGTATTATTGATTGATGTATCTTGATTTCTATTACAATGATTCATGATTCCTATATATAGAAGAGGGTGAGTGTGTAGTAGGTAAGGAGTAGGTGAAGTGGAGGTGGTAGTGGTGTAGTGGGTTAGGTTTAGTGGAGTGGGTGAGGTGGTAGTGGTGTAGTGAGTTAGGTTTAGTGGAGTAGGTTTAAGTGGGTTAAGTAGGTGGATTTTAGGTGGATTTTAACATAAATATATTCAAACATTGATAATAAGTACTCAATTAGTGAGCAACATCATAAGAGAATCTATAAGTTATTAGCAACATCTAACTATTAATAAAACTCAAAAATTCTCGAAAACATAAATGATGCTTACCTTGCTGAAAAGGCTGCTACGACAATATAGTAGTGAACATTCAGCAACATCTAGTTATTACGCAACATGTTGTTAATAAAACTTTTAATTTTATTATTGTTATTATTATTGTTATTATTATTATTATTATTATTATTACTTCACAGCTTAAAAAATTTACTCAATATCATGCATTCTATGATTGTCTTTTGGCATGAACTTCTTAATCACTTCTCAGAGAGCGGGATCTTGTCCTTTAGTTGAGAGTATGTCCACAATCAAGAGAAAAGTGGATGCATCTGCTGAGAAACCCCTTTGAACCATTTCCTCAACAAGTATTAATGCCTCATAGCACTTGTGTTGTCCAATAAATCCTCGGATAATAGTGTTGTAAGTGACATCATCTGCCAAGCAACCATTCTGTTCCATTTTAACAAACAACTCTTTAGCTTCATGTAGTAGGCCTTCTTCACAAAGACCTTGTATCATGATAGTGTATGTCTTAACATCAGGTTGTAATCCCTTGGAAGAAAGGTAACTGAAAATGGCCCTTGCAGTGTCAAACTTTTTATCTTTGCAGAATGCATCAATGAGGATATTATACTTAACAATATCAAGAAGTAAACCGTAGCTTTCCATCATGTGGAATAATGACAATGCTTCAGAAATATGCCCATTTTTGCACAACCCATCCAATAAGATACCATAAGTTCGAGAATCTGGATTTATGCCTGCAGCTTGCATATCGTCAAAAAGTTTTTGAGCAGCTCCACATCTACCTGTTTGAAACAAACCCCATAAAATAGCGTTGAAAGTTCCACTGTCGGGTTTCAGCCCCCTTCGAGGCAATTCTCGAAAGAGAAGCATGGCCTCATCTATTTTCATTTTCTTGCAATATCCATTGATTAGAATGGTATAGCTAAACACATTAGGTTGAAGGCCCCTCTCCACCATGGCATTGAACACTCTAATTGCTTCATCCATGTGGCCTTGCAGACAATATCCATCCATTAGAGTACTGTATGTGACTACATTAGGATCCACACCTCTTTGTATCATGACTTCAAGTACCCCCTCTGCCTCTTTCATCTTCCCTTCCTTGGTACATGCATCTAGCAACACACTATACGTATGAACATCTGGAGCAATATCACTATCCAACATTTCTCTAAACATTCCGGTAGCCTCCTTCCACCAACCAAAATTACATAGACCATGAATCAAGGAGGTATAAGTGACAACATCTCGATGAATGCCTTGTTGATTCATCTTAGAAAAGAGTTTCATAGCATCATCCATCATTCTATCCTTGCAAAGACTGTCAATGATCGTGTTATACACTATGGTGTCAGGTTTACAGCTTCCCTCTTCCATTATCCTAAGCAAACTAACAGCCCTGATAGTGTTCCCCGTTCTGCAGAGCCCATTAACAATGGTTCCATACATAACCACATCGGGTTCAATTTCTCTCATTCTCATTAATTTCTTAAATAACTCTACAGCTTCAGGGGTTTTCTCATCCAAAATAAGTCCATTTAACAGAGTGTTGAAGGTAGTTACATCAGGTGTATAACCGCGTTTGAAGAGGGTACCCAAAAGAGAGAACCCAAAATGGACTTGATTCAGGCGGCAATAACAGTTAATAGCAATGTTGAAGGTGCAGATATCGACCTGAATGCCTAGAAAATGCAATTTCCCAATAAGAGGAAGAGCGATGTCGTAATGACCCAATTTCAAAAGAGGACCTAAAGCTTTGTTGAAATGAGAAATGGGGGGCAAAGGTCGCATTTGGATCATGCGATTGAACGAATTTACAGCGTCTTGGAGATCATTGCATCGCAGTGTGGGTAAAGTTTTAGGTTGATTCGTTATTAAAGCAGCAGCAGGAGGAGAACTAGGGCTTGGGGTAGTAGAGAGAGAACGAAACAAAACAAACAGGAATGAAGAGGGTGTTATTATTTTGAGGGCGTTACACTTAACTGTGTCCAACATAAAGCCAAATCTTGTCCTATTATAGTTATAAAGAATTAAATAATAATTTGGTTCAATGCCAAATCATTCCAAAATTAAACATCTAATCTAGATTGTTCGACTAATAAGAAGAGATCTACTGCATGCACCATGCAAGACCATCTTGTCCTACATAAATCGAACATCTCTAACAACCGATAGTTATATGGTAAAACTAAGATTAAAAAATGCATTGCTGATGCTATGCAAGTTTGACTAAGGAACTCAAGAAGTCGAGCCATTGCTAAATTTGAGTTGAATCATGAAATTATACCATTTTAAACATGACATGTCAAGAATCAATGCCACTTTTCTACCACTGCTAAAATCAATGAAGTGAAGATGTAGTTCAAGTTGCTTAACTGCAAGAATCAATAGAATAAAATTAAAATCTACGGATCCATATGCATGAAAAAATATGTAATATTTTTTGTAATGAATAGAAGTAACATTAAAAAAAATTGAAGTCAATAAAAAAGTAGCATAAAATCAAAATAAGAAGGAACAAATTTCTATGATGCCAAAGACTATGCCCTGCTCTCTTTTATATTAATAGAATGAATGAAAATTAATCGACTTAGGCATTTAAACATGGATAGTTTTTTTCTTTTCCTTAATGTAAGAGTGGATTAAGCAGTTATAAATCATTACACATGCACACACAAAAAAAAAGTATCACATCTAGGTAACAAATTAACTTTTATCTGCGTAGCATTGAACTATGTTGACCACACCACATCCCATTAGTCTAGGATGATCTTAATTGTTGCTTAACACAATAGAATCAAACATTTAATTTTGTCAACGAGCATCACATCTAGGTAACAAAAACGCAGGGATATATAGGGGATTTATATTACCAGATGGAGGACAAGAACTTGAGTAGGTCAGATTTTGAAGCTCAACACGTGCTACCTGTACCTCCTTAACAACATCCAACAAATTACCTAAAACTGAACTAGTTATCTGCAAAAACAGTACCAAGATGAGAGGTAAATACAGAGAAATCAATATTTGAAATACCCAACAACTGATGAATGGAACAATAATACAAGTTGACAGTGAGGCAAATAAGGCATGACAAAAGGTTGGTGTAAAGCATATCTCTAAAGGCATTGAATAGATTAACTATCACTATTTCAGACAAATGTGATCCCTGTGGCATGAGCTGTGGTTTCAGTTGCTGTGATGAAGAATGATGAGCTAAAAATGCAAGAAGAGGTTCAGAAACTCACTTGTGTTTCTTGAATAAAACTTCTAGAACCAACATAGTTCTGAGTGGTGTTCGCATTAAATGCAACTGCAAAAGCAGTGCAAACATCCATATTTGGGAAAATTTACTAAGCAAAATGAATTGAATTAAACAAAGTAAAAAATACAAATAGTAAGGTAAACTTCCTCTTAAAACAAAATGACTGCATTAACTTCAATATCATCAGTCAATGCCAATCTCCCATGGTTAGCATTTTCAGCCAAGTTCCGAAAATACTTCAAGTACAATTTGTACAGAAACATGTGATTCCACAAAGATTGAGAGAATCACACGAAGAGAGAGAGAGAGAGAGAGAGAGAGAGAGAGAGTTCTTCCTAACCTTGCTTTGCTAGTTGCGCCAATTATCCATGTAGTTTCTTCAGTACTAATACCATCATATACAATTACATCCAATTTATCTTCCTGCTGGTTTCTTTAGGCAACATTCCCGAAGAATCCTACAAGCCTCTGAAGTGCTAAGGCTGGAAATATAGAATCCATGCCAGGGAGAACACCAAGCTCTTCTCCAACCACCTACCATATCACCAAAAAAAAAAAAAAAAAAACATGAGAACTGCCCATGGATAAAACCATAATTGAGGAAACAATGTCTTTTAGACACAAGAAATCCAAATAATCAAAATGATTGTTTCATAGCACCCCTTCGAGCACTCCTTGGGTCATATTAAGACAAGCATCTACTTGCTTCAGCCGATTGAGAGGTTCAAGCAGTATTTGCAATTATTGGGAACAATTTATCTAGAGTCAAAACTACTTAAATTTAAATAGCAGTATCAGATATAGGGAAATGTGTAGGAAGATAGAAAAACACACTTTAGTAGTTTCCAGCCTAATAGTTGAAAGGTTGTTGTTGCATGTGATTGGAGAAGTTCCAACCTTACAATTTAGAAGATAGTCAGCAATAGGATCTTGGGATTATATCACCAAGCATGTTTTAAGCCCAGCCTTTGCATAATGCTGATCAACAAAAATTGATTAGTTTTTGAGAAAATTTTAGAATAAACCCAATGGAATTATATACAAAGTGAAGGAAGATTCCCAAAACATAATAACCAAATTCATTATGACAGAGTAAACAAAATATATCATCTAAATCTACATGATAGACTGACACTACCTACATGTTCCCCCCTCTCTCTCTGAAAAAGAAAACAAAATATAACAAATAATTCCAATTAAGAAACAAGCAATAATGGTGTTGAACAGTTTTCTTTAAAAAAAAAAATTTAACAAATTAAATGAAAGAAAGACAGCTATACATAAGAGTTCATAACACTTTCACACCAATTCACATTGACATTTTCCTCTAACCAATCTATGTTCACGCTCTGTGTGTGAATCCTTTTGACAGAATCTTATTCTTCCTCTTCAAGCCCCCAATATATATGTATGTGTGTGTGTGTGTGAACAACAGGGAGAGAGTAGCCTTGAAAAAGGTTTCCTTCACATTATTTTCCCAAGAAAACAGAGAAGAATTTTCTTCTCTCTTTCTTACTCTCTTCCTTGTACTGAGCTTCTTCTAGAGTCCAAGTCACCAACAACAATGGAAGCTAAAGACATCAAAATGGGAAAGGGATATAGGCTGTTAATTCAAATGTATTTCAAAATCACCAATATGTTCACAGGTAACTCAGGATTAAGCTGGAAATCAGGATTTCAAGTTTGAATAACTCAAATTACAAAACTGATTCAACACTATTGACCACCAACTATAACTAGATTAGTGGATCATTGAACATAGCAAATTCATGATAAACCAAGTCAACTAGCAGCATCAAGAACATCAAAACATTTCACACAAACAAAACCTCAATCACTGAAACAGAGCAATACTATCGCATTACAGAATCAAAACTTGGCAACAACCAAATCAACAAAACAGAAGAGGGTTATAGTATATACATATATATATAATCACTGAACCAACACAAAAAAAAAAACAGAATCAACAACCAACACAAACAAAACAGAATCACTGAATCAGATTTACGATAGTCATTGTAACGCCCTCAAAATAAACCCATTATATATATATATATATATCATTAACATGCAATATTAAAAGAAAACAATCCATTCTCTCATTCATCAGAGTATTACTAAATGAAAACATTACATGTAATATCAAATTAAATGCCCTATGGGCACCTAAGTCCGGATACAATATTCATATAGGAAAAGACCGGGGTCGCTCTAGTCATATATATATAGAGAGAAAGAGAGAGATGCCTTCTCTCAATGCCTTGATCTCCGCATATGCAATGCCTTGATCTGCACAAACAAAAATCAACAGCCAAATCAAAAGAGAGACCTTCGAAATTGAGAGAGAGAGAGAGAGACCTTCAAAATTGAGAGACAGAGAGAGCTTCGAGATCAAAATCGAAATCACCGAGATGTCATTCTGAGATGAATCACGGAGCTGAAGCAGATTTTGAAGGATTCGATTGGTTTTTCTAAGATTGTAGACGACAGTGCTCAAAATCGAACTTCGAAATCAAAATCGCAATCGCTCTAAGAAACTATGAGAGAAGCCATACGGATGCAGATAAGTTGGCTCTGAGAAATTTCGAAATCGCAATCGCTCTGAAGAAGAATCGAGAGAGAGCAAGAGAGTGAGAGATTTGAGTGAGTGATAGATTTAAACTAGACGGCGGTGGGTTTTGAAAATAAAGGTTTGGAGAGACAAAATAGGGTTTGTAGGGAGACAGGATTTAGAGGCGCAAGTCTTCTATTCATAAAACGGGGTCGATTTGATTCATATCAAATGCGACGTTTAAAAACGCCGTTAATTATTAGAAAAAGTGACGTTTAATAAAACGTCGTTAATTAAACGCCGTTAAATCTCTAATTTTCTGTAGTGTATAAAAATGAATTACATAATACACAAAGTGGGTGTTTGGGAAGTGGGTTTTTTTGTAGTTTTTTTAGTTGTAGGATATTATTGGAAAAAAAAAATTGTGTTTGGGAAGATAGTTGGGTTCTTTTGTGGTTGGATGTGATGTTTGTGAGAGAAAAAGTGACATGATTATGGGGTTTGATGTGATATTTTGTTTGGATTAGTTTTTTTAGTTTTGTAACCAATTTGTCTTTTAGTGAAAAAAAACAAAAAACTTCCTTCCCAAACCAGCCCTAAAGTACAAACATCACAACTGGAGAAATTTCCCCTAGTGCACACCGCACAACCTTACTATCAACAAATACTAATAAATCAGCACAATTCTATCAAATTTAGATTTCCAGTAGAAGCCATCAACATACTTTGCAATAAAACCGGGATTTCCTTAAGTCTAATTTGGGCTGAAGGAAGATTTTCCAGGATCCAAACACATAATAGAAAGTCATCATTAATTTGTCTTTTATGATGCAGTATAACCACCAAGAAAATCAAGAAGTCAAAGGTGGCTCTCACATATAACAATAACAATAACAACAACAACAAAACCATGCTCTTAAAGATCAAGAAAGCATAACCATCATTATTACAACCCCAATTCTTAAAGCTAAATTGCCTTGGCAAATTATACTACACAAAAGTGAGACTGACATTATATTTTCAAGAAAGCTAAAATTGCCACTGACAGATCCTACGAGACATACATACAATTTGCTAACAGACCCAGATCAGTCAGCCTTTGGATATTTATATCATTTAAGGCAAGAAAATCAGAGGATGTTATCCTTTCATCTGGCAATACTCTCCGATTCTACAGCTGTAGCAGCATTTCTATATCCTTGAACTAGTGAATTTCAGAGCATGTCGCGAGAGCACTGTCAGACTTCTCATCTATAATGCTGATGAAGAAACACAGATATTCAAGTTACATGTCAACCCAGTAGCCACAAATTGGAGATCTTACTTGTTGAGGGGATTAAAGAAAAATACATACTACATGGCAGCTTATAAGTAGTGCTCAACACTACAACACAAAAGCTCATTTTTCTTAGTTTTTCATGATATTTCCTGTAGCAATTCCTACAGTTTTGGAATTGACATCATATGACGACAGGACCTCTCTCTGCAACAGTCAATGAAAATAACTTTACTTCAGAAATACACGGTCACAGCAAGCTAGAACTTCTTAGAAGAGTGATAAGCAAAATATTAAACATTAACAGTATTGCAAGAGTTGTCACGTGAAGCATTTCACCATATCATTGAAGCAGAAGAATACTTACAATTGGCTCAAAATCAGGGCTAGACAAGTTGATGGTGAGGTTTCTCATCAGCAACAAAGCCTGTACGTAGACAGAACCCAAAAAGACAAAGATGTTCAGTTGCAAAGCAATATCTTTCCAATTGAATGACATTAATAAAATCCACATTGACCCAACCGATGTCAAAACACTTCATCATATAACTAACAAATACAAGGAAAATCATCCATAGACAAGATGCTTAAGGTTTCATGTTAGAGATCAAAGGGGCCACTGTGCAAATGCGAGCAATAGAGAGTGCATGAGTACCTGCCATTGCTAGGAATCATTTGCCTGTTTGGTTTTTAAATTAAAAAAAACTGTTTTTTGAGTTTTTTACTTTTTGTATTTTTGTCTTTTATAATTTTTAAATTATTTTCATCATTTTTTTTAACTTATTAGATACGCTTAATCTAGATGCACTTAAAAGTAAAATATTTCTAAAAAAAGTTCATTGAAGCCCAAAAAAAGAACTACCACATTTTTTGCTTTTTTTTTTGCTAGTTTTTTTTTTTCTTAGCTCCTTGAAGTTTAAAAATATACACTTAACCTCCTTATGGTCTAACTAAAATGCAAAGCTAAACTCTGTTAAAGAAATTTTACAAAATGTCTATACTGCCCCCCTTTCTCTTTTCTCCAATTTTCTGATAAATGCCAGTCTCTCTCTCTCTCTCTCTCTCTAAAAATTATACAGCATCACAAACCCTTTTCAAAGCCAAATCTGACCAAACACACACCCATCTTGTTCTTTCCCTTATGAAATAATTCATATAGACACTTATGGCATTTCTGTGAACTTCTCTAAATGGTACAATTTTGGATTTGAAGGTTTTGGGTTTCAATAGATGACTTAAAGTA